TAAGCAGTATGCATATAAGAAGAGCCAAGTTGCCAACAAAATGTGATTGTGCAGACCATCGAGATGCTTAATGCTTCCAAAGCGTGAATTGCTCTGTTGAGGCTCTGCAGTTCTCAGCAGATCACATGTCAAGATTTATGGTGGTCTGCTATGCACAGTATAGGAACAAGGAGGAAAAAGGAAAACAGAATCAAGTAACACAGAGTTTCCATGATCGAGATATTCAACTGCATTACTAGTACATGCAATTCAAATTACCAATGACTTGGGTGCATGGATAGAAAGTAATATAGCCAAACTTGCAGATGACACTAAAATAGGCAGGAAATCAAGTTGTAATGAATAAATGAGAAATTTACAGATTGATATGGATGGGTTAGGTGAATGGGCCAAAATTTGGCAGGTGAAGTTTAACATGGATAAGCATGAGACCAATTTGGTCGGAGGAATAGAAAGTTAACTTGTTGTCTAATGGATTTAATGGATTGAAGGGTTATGGGGAATGGGCAGAAACGTGGGGTTGAGGCCGAAGTGTGACCAGCCATAAATCATACTAAATGGTGGAACAGGCTTGAGGGGCTGAATTGCCTACTCCTGCTCCTAGTTCTTATGCTCATGTGTACCCATTCACTAACAGCCCCACACTCTACTTTCCATTGTTTCTGGTCCCAATAGTATTTTCTCTTCCGTATGAGCTTGCACTGCTGTACCCACGTGATAAATTCTGCTTGTGGTCAATGGAAGCTGTGACATCATCCATCAGATGCTATATCATAGATGGGTTGGTAGATTTGGTATCGTGGAGATGACCACTGATTCCATGTTGGGAGGATGAAATCCAAGCTCTGATCAAAGTCATATACCGATTTGTTTCTCCCATGGTTTCATGGTCTTTGACATTGTCTGCAGGCTTTCCGGTAGGCCACACATTAATTTAATTATTTCAAAGACTGTACCCACTGGCCTTCCTCATTGAAGTCTTCAGTTGAATTTATGTGTAACCCTACCCTCAGCAAGCTGTCTCGGTTACATGCTCAGTGTGTCACCACATACAGCAACTGGTTCTGAGCCATTCTGTAGAATATGTATACTGTCAGTTTCTGATCTGGTGGCTGTGAAGCTGAGTAAGTGAGATGATGTTTTTCCTTCACTGTCTTCCTGCTCCTCCACATGATTCCACTTCAATTACTGCTTGACTAGATTGCATTTCTTGAATACTTGAAAGAGAAAAAGCATAATATAAAATTATGATTTTCCCACCTCACCATAAAGAAAGGAGTACAAATGCTATCATCCTGATGTATAGCAGAAGAAGAGATTGTGAGATGAAATCTAATTAGGATGGGAGAAGAAGGTTTAGGTATAAACATACTATAATATTTGGTTCCAGTCCTCAACTGGCTACAGCCTTATTTACAGCCATTCACATATTGGTAAGCATTGTCTTCTCTGGGGGGCTAAGGGGTTAAGCCCACCCCTACCTCCCAATTTGACTACTGACATGAGATCATAGAATCTTTTGAGATACTGTATCCACGTCCTCAGGTGTCTGCCATGGCGGTATGATCTCACAGCTTTCTCAAAGTTTATCTGTAGGGCTGGCTGGCCCATCATTGATATATGATATCTCTGTCATCCTTCACCGCACCCTGCATCAAGGTCTCTGGTACATATGGGAAAGTTTTGGAGCCCTTTTTTTTTTACCATACTATGGCTTTCCTATATATTTACCAGGTTCATCTCACTTTTACAACTTCCTTTAGGAGGAGATGTATAGTGGTAATGCCAATGGACTAGTAATCCAGGTATCCAAGCTAATGCTCTTGGGACCTGGATTTAAATCCCACCATGGCAACTGGTAGAGTTTAAATACAATTAATAATATGTAAAATTGAAAACCCCTGTCAACAATGATAACCAATTTTAACCTGCTTAGTCTACTAATTTTCTTTAGGGAAGGAAATATGTTGTCTTTACCTGATCTGGCCTACATGTGACCTCGGTCCCTCACCAATGTGATTGACTTTTGACTGTTGTCTGAAAGCAAGAAAGAAAGAACTCTAATCAAGGAAAATTAGGGTGACAAAAATGCTGGCTTTGCCAGGAATGCCGACATCCTGTCAAAGAACAGAAGAAAACTGATTGGAATGCATACTCCCTTTTAAAAGGGAATAGTGTGAGCTAGCTTTGGTTTACACCAACTTATTTCAAATTTTCACCCCCTGCTCAGGCATGCAGCCACTCAAAGGCACGTTAATACTGGCTGCACACTAATATCGCATAATCAAGCAGACAATAGTATGCAACATGTAAGGTGATTGTCAGACCTCTGTGCAAAATGTGTTAAGGTTTTCCAGTTTTACAGATGACACCAATGTATGAAGTAAAATTGAACAATGTAATTGAGCTTAAATTAATCAGTGTTCAGTTTGGATAAGAATAGCATAACTAATAAAGTAGCAATGAATTGGAAAGGGAATAGGCACTAACTGGATCAGTCACGCTGTGCTGGTCAGTAAAGAGATAAGTTGCTGAAATTCCTGTTAACAAAAAGAAAGTACATTTGAATGTGAATGATTCAAATGTGTGAAGTAGTTGCCATTTTATACCTAATGTTATTTTGTAAATATTTGTGAAGACAAAGATTATTTAAGTCCGTGTAATCATTTGCACAGTGGTTAGCTGCAATAAAAAAGACTTGTGTGATTGAGATAGAGTACAAATCAAAAATTTGGCTAGAAATTCCATTTCTTACATTGCATTATCAAGGCAGGAGAGGAATTTTGGATAGAACTTGGTTCCTGTGGAACTCCCTCTTACTTTTCCTGTGATGCAAAGTTGTAATAGGAGGGTGGCTAGGCATTGCATTTATGTATTTATTATTTTTGATTTTCCACTTACGTCTTTCCTACTCACTTCCACATCACCAATTTTCAGTCGATGTATGCCCTTGACAGCATGGTCAAAGCTGAAGTCAACTTGATGATTTGACTCCAAGGCAGCTTAATTAAGCTTTATCAAGGTGATAGTGGAAATGACTCACTCAGCATTCTGCAATCAAGTTCTGCTGCAAACAAGAACAAAAACAGAAATTGCTAGAAAAACTCAGTAAGTCTGGCCACATCTGTGAAGAAAAATCAGTGCTCACGTTTCGGGTCCAGTGACCCTTCCCCAGAATTGATGGTAGCTAGGAAAATGTCGGTTTATATACAGAAGATAAACGATAAGTAAATGATAAGTGGGAATAGAGCCCAAAGAGAGGGAAGAACAGTTGGACAGACAAAGGAGTTGATAACGACTTGGCTAGGAGTCTGAATAATTATGCCTGTCTGTTCATGGGGTACATGGAATATTCCTTGTTCCAGACCTACTCTGGCCCTGACCCACAACTCTTCCTTGGATATAACAATGATATCATCGGGACTGCTTTCCTCTGTCGTCCGGAATTGGAAAAATTCATCAATTTCGATTCCAATTTCCACCCTGCCCTCACTTTTTCTCCTGGTCTATCTCTGACTCCTCCCTTCCCTTCCTTGACATCTCTGTTTCAATTTCTGGGGATAGACTGGCCACTTATATCCACAATAAACCCACCAGCTCCCATAGCTGCTAGACTATATGTCCTTGCACCCTGCTTCCTGTAAAGGCTCCATTCCATTCTCTCAGTTTGCATATGTTGTATATGTTTCGATGAGGCCAACTTCAACAAGGGAGCCTCTGAAATGTCCACCGTCCAACACCGTCGTTGACAGGGCTCCCAACCAAGTCCGACCCATCTCCCGCACTTTGACCCTCACCCCCTCTCTTCCCTCCCGCAAGAGCAGTAAGTTCCCGTTGTTCTTACTTACCATCCCACTGGCATCCAAATCCAGAAGATCATCAGCTGCCATTTCTGCCATCTCCAGCAAGATGTCACCATCAGACACAAATTCCCATCCCCTCCCTTGTCTGCCTTCCGCAGGAACCGTTCCCTCCAGGACACTCTGATCCACTCTTCCTTCGCTCCCAACCCACAGCCCCATGGCATCTTCCCTTGCAACCGCCGAAGGTGTAACACCTGCCCATTTACCTCCTTCCTCCTCAAAGGGCCCAAACATACCTTCCAGATGAAGCAGCACTTTACCTGCACTTCCCACAATCTAGTCTACTGCATTCACTGCTCACAACGTGGTCTCCTCTACATTGGGGAAACGAAGCATAGACTGGGTGTCTGCTTCGTACAACATCTATGTTCTGCATACAAAAAACCAAAGCTTCCAGTTGCCTGCCACTTTAACGCACCATTCTGTTCCCTGGCCAACATCTCTGTCTCAGGCTTGCTGCAATGTTCCAGCGAAGGTCAGCGCAAGCTGGAAGAACAACGCCTCATTTTCCGCTTAGGGACCTTGCAGCCCTCTGGACTCAATATCGAGTTCAATAATTTTAGAACCTGAACTCTCCCATGTCATAGACCCCTACCCACCATATCAGGTCTTGTTATCACATAGCCTGCCATTACTCATCACCTATTGTTAGCCACTAACAGTCTTCATTAACAGCTATTCACCCTCCTAGCCAGATTATCAACTGAGCTGTCCTACTGATCTTTTCTCTCTTTGGGCTCTATCCCAACCTATTGTTCAATGCTTATCCCCTCCCCTCACCCTATCTTCTGCATAGAAACCGACATTTTCTAGTTACCATCAGTTCTGATGAACGGTTATCAGAATTCAAAATGTTAACTCTGATTTTTCTTCACAGATACTGCCAGACCTGCTGAGCTTTTCCAGCAATTTCTGTTTTTGTTCCTGATTCACAGCACCTGCCGTTCTGTCAGTTTTTATTCTGATGCAAACAGGTTTGCTATGAGGTGTAAATGTATTGTTTGCATAAGAGAATACTAGATCTTATAAATGAGGAAGGGTTATGGAGATGGAGTAAGCAATTGGGGAAAAAAAAGACTGCAGGTTGTGGAGGGGATTATGGAAGGCTAGTAGGTAACCTGTGACTTTTTTTGCAAGTCATCACAGGTCATCGAAGTGGATGTGCTAGTACCAGACCTTGATAATTCATCGACATTGAATGATGATCAATACAAGCAGATACAGAATCACCAGATTAAGCAGGTAAATGTTGGAGGCAACTGAAGATATAGGAGTATTGATTATTGAGGATAGGATGCTATTATAGCCCCTCAGAGAAATTAAAGTAATAAAGTACTACGACAGTGGTATTGCAAAAACAAACAAGTAAATGGAAGAAGACAAAACAAAAAAATACAGTAATTGTACAGTAAATGTACAGTGGATTGTAGACAATTGTTTTGTTACTCAAGAAAATGAATAGTGATATGTATGACACAGGCCCAGATCTGTGAATGGCCAAGTAACAGACATACCCTCAGCCCCTCAAAATTTGCATCAGTATCCCTTGGAAGTCCCAGTGTAACTACTGAGGAAGCTTAAATAGCTGATGAACAATTTATCCTGCATTCAGAATCCTAAGAAAAGGCTAAGACTGATTAAAACAGTAACCATACTGGGTAATTATACACTGAGTCAGATGTGAAGGGTCATCCATCTGAAGACCACGCTGAAAAATTAGGAGAATAGGTGGGTTTTCATTGTTTGATTGAGGTTGGAAATAGGGTTTCCAGTCCTAATCAGAAGACCTGAATTATTTACCCAGACCTAAAGTAACATGCATACGGGAGAGACTGTAAAGGTTGTGGAATTGGGTGGAAAGATTTGTGCATATAGGAAAATCCACATGAGTTGCAAAGATGTTCCTATAATTTAATGTCAATGTCCACAATAACATGACTGCCTAGTAAGAACAAGTCCAGGAAGATTACTTCAGAAGTAGCTGGAGGTCCTGGATGAAATAGGCTCAAAACTACTAAATCTTTGCTACTGTATTAAGTTAACAAAGGGATACGATCTTATGGGGAGCTATGAGGGAATTGATTACTAGTGAGGTCCTGCCAGGTTTGAAACAAACTATTGTGATATCACTTTCCAAAAGGTATCAATATGGAGCCAGGCAAAAACACACCCATAACATCTGTATCAATACCAAGCAAGGTAGTCAAATTTATTCTCTTGGTAGACATAAAGACTATATGCATGACTTTTTAGAATTAATATTCACCACAGTTTATGAAGGCTGCAATTCTGTCTGGCTAACCTGTGATATTTTCAAGGAAGTGCAGGTTCATAGTTCCTTGAACGTGGAGTCCCAGTTAGACAGAATAATGAAGAAGGCATTTGGTATGCTTACCTTTATTAGTCAGTGCATTGAGCATAGGAGTTGAGAGATCATGTTGCAGCTGTATAGGATGTTGGTTAGGCCACTTTTGGAATACTGCATGCAATTCTCGTCTCCCTGCTATAGGAAGGATGTTGTGAAACTTGAAAGGATTCAGAAAAGATTTACAAGGATGTATTCAGGGATGAAGGGTTTGAGCTATAGTGAGAGGCGGAATAGGCTGGGGCTATTTTTCCTGGAGTGCTGGAGGCTGAGGGGTGACCTTATTGAGGTTTATGAAATCAGGAGGGACAGGGATAGAGTGAATAGCCAAGGTCTTTTCCCCAGAGTGGGAGAGTGAAAACTAGAGGACATGGGTTTAAGGTGAGAGGGGAAAGATTTGAAAGGGACCTAAGGACTATTGTTTCATGCAGAGGGTGGTGCGTGTATGGAATGAGCTGCCAGGGAGGTGGTGGAGGCATTTACAATTACAACATTTAGAAGGCATTTGGATGGGTATTATGAATAAGAAGGGTTTAGAGAGAGATGGGCCAAATGCTGGCAAATGGGAATAGATTAATTGAGGAGATGGTAAGAACTGTCGATGCTGGAGTCAGAGATAACAGTGTGGAGCTGGAGGAGCACAGCATGCCAGGCAGCATCAGAGGGGCAGGAAAATTGACGTTTCGAGTTGGGACCAAGGTCCTCTGCAGATTAATTTAGGACATCTGGTTGGCATGGATGAGTTGGTCCAAAGGGTCTGTTACCATGTTGCGTACAGCTGTATGACTCTGTGATTCTAAGTGATATCTGAAGTAGTCAATTTAGATGCCTATAGTAAAATCTACCTTTATACTTGGGGAAAAAAAACTTGTACAAATTCTGCTGCTGTTGTCTAAAGGTAAGTACATGTGGGAGAGAACAGGCACTTGTAAGCAGATTTTTATTGAAGTGGATAAGTGGCTGAATGGAGTGCCCCAACTCATTGAGTGGTACATAGGTGCAAAATTACCATTTTCATGATGCCTGTGTTAGGAGTGCCACCATAATGCAGTTTTGTAAGTCTTTTGCCTTAAACAGATGCTAAGCTGATTGCATTTTCAAATCAGGGGTCTGTCTCAGAATCTCTGCTAGGAGTTTGCCTGGAGCAGGACGATCTGTTTTACTCCAGATTATCAGGTCCACGTGCAGCCTAACCTTAGGCAGCCAGCTAGCTATTTAACAAAATTACTTTTATTCTTTGTCTAGAGCTGACTTCCCAATTCCACAACACTCCTGAAAGCCACCCTAGCTCCTCTCCCCCCAGCCCCCAACATTTACTCAGTCATCTGCTGGTGAGGCAGTCATGCTAACTTGATCGTGCAATGGTTACCCACCCCACAAAATTTCACCTCCTGTTCCTTTTGTTTCCAGTTCCCATCTTGTGTAATTTTCCTTCTATACTTAATTTCTGAGAGTGGAATGTTTTCAGCTGGTATAATTGGTCTCACTAAAGAATACCATTCTCCCTCAGCATTCCACTTCCCACTTTCTGTAGGAACTTTCAGTTCTCTGCAGTCCCCCATACGATTTGGCCAAACTCAGAAACCAGGATCTGTAACACTCATAAGTTCCTGCCTTGATCTTACCTTGCAAACAGGTCTCTGAAAAGGACTCTTTGCCTGTATTCTTTTTCTGCCAGTCAGCCTGTTGTAATGAGCTCACAGGAGAGCAGTCTTACGTGTGCTGCAGCTTCATTGAACTGCTGTAACACAGATGCTGTAGTGACAGCTTCAGGATGGAGGTCACATGACTACAGCAAACCAAGAGACCTATTAGTATAGCATTAAACTTTGATTCCCAGTATGTCCCTTTCCATAGAAAAAGAGCAAAAGAATTTGTATCATTTAAGTATTGTCATTTAAACTGAGTTGCCTACTGTACACACAACTGCTCTCCTGTGTTGGCAGATCATTATTCTCTTCAATTTCTGCAGATGCAATGCACACACAGTCTTTAAATCATACCAACCTTTTAATGGTATGTGTGAACATTGTCCCTAGTTGTTCATCTGGTGATGATATTCCTACTTCAGGAGTGTTATTTATATATCACTTGTTGCTGTGGTACCTGTTGTGGCTTCATTTTATTTGTTGGCATGTTGTGGAGCATTGGAAATGATGGTTAATCTGCAATCTGTACAGATGTGGAGCTCACATCTTCCTAATCAGCCACCTGAAGGAAGGAACAGCTTTTCCAGTTGTGCTTATGTGCCTGCGCTTGTAATAGTATATCTGATTGTTCACTTCTATTCTGTATGATCAAGATAACAGCTGTTCTATACAGCTCCCAAATTGCCATTTGGGCTGCCACTATTTGAGAGTCATACAGAAACAGACCATTAGGTCCAACTTGTCCAAGCCGGCCAGATATCCTAAACTGATGTTTGTCCATTTGCCAGCATTTGGCCCACATCTCTCTAAACTCTTCCTAATCATGTACCGTAGCAATTAAATGTTGTAATTGTACCCACCTCCACAACTTCTTCTGGCAGCTAGTTCCATGCATATACACCCTCTGCGTGAAAAAGTTGCCCCTCAGGTCCCTTTTAAATCTTTCCCCTCTCACCTTAAATTTATGATCTCTAGTTTTGGACTCATCTACCCTGGGAAAAAGACCTTGGCTATTCATCCTATCCATTCCCTTTGTCGTTCTATAAACTTCTATAAGGTCCCTCCTGATACTCCAGGGAAAAAATTCCCCAGCCTATTCAGCCTCTCCTTTTTAGCCAAACCCTCCAAACCTGGCAACATTGTTGTAAATCCTTTCTGAACCCTTTCAAGTTCAAGTTTTAACGACATCTTTCCTATAGCAGGGAGATCAGAATTGAATGCAGTATTCCGAAAGTGGCCGACCAATGTCTTGTTTAGCTGCACCATGACATCCCAACTCCTATGTTCAGTGCACTGACCAATGAAGGCAAGTGTACCAAATGCCACCCTAACCACCCTGTCTACCTGTGATTCCACTTTCAAGGAACTATGCACCAGCACCCCTAGGTCTCTAGAGCAACACTCCCCAGGGCCCTACAATTAACTATGCAAGTCCAGTCCTGATTTGCTTTACCAATGTGCAACATCTCTTTGTTCCTAGACTGGCTGTCCAACTCTCTCAATTCTGGCAATGGTTCAGCAGTTTTGTTAAAATGAAATTTGGCTTTCTGACATTTCAGCTTGATTTTGCCACTCATGCATGTTACAGTTTCTGGCCTTAATGCTTTTTGATTTTTGGAAGAATAGATTGAAGGTAGTGTGACATTAGTCTGGACTGGATACTTTCCATCTCTTCAGTAGGTTTTTTTCTCCACCCTAGGATTGCCATGTTTGCATCTGTGCTGAATTCATTCAATTTCTTTGTTTCCTTTGGTGATTTTCCTTGCAATCTTAACCTTTCCATTTCATTGAGGGATAGTATGGAGAAAATGTAGAGTGTTGAACTTTATGAAGCAGCTGAATTCTTTATTCAATCTGATAACCATTGTCATTCATCACAATGGAATCCTCTAATGTCTGAAATGTGCTTTTGGCCATTCTACAAATCACTGGTAGTCGTTGATGTCAGCTTGTTTGTTTCCTATCGATCAGAATAGTAGTCTACTGTAACATAATCTGTTCTTGTGTCTGTCTGGGATGCTACATGTTTTCGTTGGTGTTCTAGCCTGTTTAATGTGGTACTCGTTACATGCAGTGCATTGGCCGATATGGTCCATGATTCTGTTGTTTGCATTTGGCTAGTGGAGCGTATGTTTTGCCTTCCTCAGACTCAATTCAGTCTTTTGGTGGTTTGCATGGATGTGCTTTAGCATCCTTCATCTCTCTCTCCTCAACTCCTTAGGGATATT